AACTCCTCCACCCGACAGGTGGTTCAAGTGTTGAGCTTGATATGGAATGGTATTCCTCATCGTTCATTCACCTGAAGCAGGTCAACTGGAACGGTGCCCGCGAGCATAATGCTCTCTCATCTCTAACGTGGCTTCCATCTCGCACGGTCCAGGCCATAACGCGGCCAGGATCGGACCAACATGAAAACATCACCGACACACATACGGGATTAGCGAGTCTGATTCGACTGACACCAGGGATGGAGGCCCTCGACTGGAGCTTTGAGTCGCTGTACAAACCCCGGCCGTCACGACCGTGGATATACGAGCCGATTGTCAAGTTATGCACCAAAGGAAGCTTGATCGAGCTCAACCTTTGCAACGTCCGGGGTCGAGAACAAGACCTGTTTGCCTACATTACACTCAGCGAGGTCCGCCACCTGTTCTTGAGCCGAGTCTCCCTGACCAAGGGCACCTTCAGGTCGAGCTTTGACTACTGCACAAGCCCAGACTCGCGTATCATTGAACTATCCCTCGATACATTGTACGAGAAGAGCCCCGGTAGGCTGGATCTGGCGAGGGTCTGCTTCACCTGCACAGGAAGAGGTCCATCGAACGCTCTATTATGGAACGACGGAGACAAACTGAATCTGGACAGGTCACTGAAGTTGGTTGGGGCCAGTGTCAAGAAGCATCAGATCCACTACACGCTGATGTAGAATGGCATGCGTCCACCGACACTCACTTTGCGGTCTTTAAATATCGTTTCGGCTAAGAAACATGGAGTGCCATCACATCCCCGACCGTCGTTTTTGGAGTTCAGAGGAGATGCGCCGAGCAGTTACGGCATGCTATCAGTTCCGTACACGCGGGCATCTTGAAATTGGCGTACGGTGTATCGCATACACATGTTTTCGCTATCAATATCCGGTGGATACTTACACCACTCACTTCACACATCGCAAGCATAGGTGCGTAGAAGGCACCGCTGCGTCGAGAAAACGACTATCGACGTTAGCACAACAGCAACAACAGCTCCGGGCAACTCTCTACGACTTGGCGCCGGGGCAAGGAGATCGGACCAGTACACGAGTCCTGTACCCGGGGGCGGACAATATCAACAGCGTTTATCACCACCACCCGGCAATTCGTCATCGAGTCTCGCCCTTTGTCAGCCATTGAGGGACTTTTTGTCAGCAGCTGGTACTAAAGGCGAAACGGCAAATGCCAAGTGCTAAATGAATGGAGCTTCGAGGCCTCGACCGGCGTAAATGGGCGCCCGGAGTGGCATGAGCACGGCTCCGAGACGCAGAATGACGATCTAGCGGGCTTGGCACGGAGCCAAACCGGTCCACACGGAGGTGGGCCCGGGACGGAATCCCGCCGATCGTTATTGCTGTGTGTCTCCCTCGCAGCTCAACAAAACAAAGTTATAACTAGTACTACACGTCTGGGTTTTTACTCGTAGCTCCGATAGAGCAATACATTCCACCCCATCCTCCCAGCCATTACCATGGCTTCCCTCCCGCCCCTCCGGTCCTCGCCAGCATACTCCTCCTCCTCCACCCCCATCACCCCCCTCCCCAAGAACGGCCACATCTCAACCCCCGACCCAGCCTATGCCTCCTCCCAAACCAAAGCATCCCTCGACTCCGCCCTCGTCTCCATCTGGAAGCACAAAGCCTGGCCCACCTTCCGACACGCATGGGACACCCTCCTCCCTCCCACCCCGGTCCAACTCACCTGGCCGCGCGATGGGCGCGAGGTCCTCACCTCCTTCCAGCACGTGCCCGTGCGCGACGGACACAAAGTAGAAATCAAGATCTACCGCCGCCCTGACGTTACGCCCGGCGCTGCAATGGTGTTCCGCATGCACGGCGGCGGCTGGGCGACCGGCGGCCACGGCATGGAGGAGGCGGAGAACCTGTACCTCGCCTTTCGGCACGAGGTGGTGGTCGTCAGCGTCGCCTATCGTCTTGCGCCGGAGTGGCCATTCCCAACGGGGGTGAGGGATTGTTTTGATGTTTTGAGATGGGTATGCACCTTTCCCTTAATCCCCCAAATCTTTCCACACAACTACAATTGACACCACGGCAGTGCATCTCCAACGCCACCACCCTAGCCATCGACCCCGATCGCATAATAACCATAGGCGGCAGCGCGGGCGGGAATTTATCAGCAGTCATGGCGCTCATGGCCCGCGACGCGCCTATCCCTGGTATCGTAGGCCAGATCCTCAACTTCCCCATCACCTGCCACCCGCGGTACTTCGCTTCTCTGTCGAAAAACAGGGGTTACGAGCTCGCCTCGTACGTACAGAACAGGGATGACTCCCTGCTTAGTGCTGTGCAGATGGAGTTCTTCTGGGATTGCTATGGTACTGAGAAAGGAGACGAGGTGGAGGGGGACGGGGAGGGGGAAGGGTACCACTCCCCTTTGTTGAGACAAGATTTGGAGGGGTTACCGCCTGCTTGTAAGCTTTCTTGCACGAAAAGTTGAATGGTTCGGGAATGGCTACTAACGATGTGCGAAACAAACAGTGATACAAGTCGGCGGTCTGGACGTCCTCCGGGACGAGGGGATCGCGTACGGAGAGGCGTTGAGGGCTGCGAGGAACGAGGTCGAGGTGTATGCGTACCGGGGACTGCCGCACGTGTTTAATGTGTTTTGTGATTTGCCGCAGAGGGAGGAATATTATAAACGGCAGGATGAGTTTATTGAGAGGTTGCTAGGGGGGGAGGTAGGAGGTTGTGAAGTCGTGTCTCATTGCTAGACTACATGCTACTTTAAGGCATAAAACTGTCGAGTAACTTACATCGCGCACATCTCTTCACCCGGAAAGCTGAGAATTTGCCCGGCCGTGCGGAGATGCCTCATTCGCCCCTTTGCTTCGAGCACATGCGCCTTGATATTGTTGCTTAGAGACTTTCTCCAATGCAGGGCACTGGAGGCTGCAATATCACCTTCCTCAGTTGTCAACACAGCACGCATCAGTCAAGCGACGTCACGAAGTTGATCAATCTCACCATGTCCTTATTAAATGTCACTCGTCATTCGTGCGCCTCGGAAATGCTACCAACTTCGTAGCTCTATTGTAACGTGAGTTGACTTTTACTTGGTCATGATGCGGGGAAGCTTCCATTGTGAGAACTTGATGAGAAATGTTGCAGCGGTCGTAACGCGGAGTCAACATCTCAGACCCCTCAGGATCGTCACTTTACAGATCCCGTGTCCCTTCTCCGTAATGCGACGGGATGGATATTGCCAGGCAGGTGCCTTCAGACGACCGTCTCGAAAAGCTTAAATACACCGCCCGGGCAGCTTCGCCCAACATGGAGTTCATCGTCCAGCACATCGTCAACACGACAGTGCGGTTCGTAGAAAACACCAAGCGCATCGACCTCATACGCATCACCATGTCCACCTTACGAAATCTCCTAGCCGTCGCACTGACGTCCGCCGTCGCGCACACGGCCGTCGAAGCACTAGTATCCCCCGACGGCGTGGGTAAGCTCCCGGCGCTGGGGTGGAACTCCTGGAACGAGTTCCACTGCGATATCAACGCCACCGTCTTCGAGACGATCGCGCAGCGCATGGTCGACCTGGGCCTCAAGGACGCGGGCTACGTCTACGTCAACATCGACGACTGCTGGAGCGACAAGGACGTGCGGCGCGACCCGGCCACCAACGCCATCCTGCCCAACGCGACGCGGTTCCCAGACGGCATTAGCGGGTTGGCGGAGAAAGTCCACGGCCTCGGTCTCAAGCTGGGGATTTATAGTGATGCGGGCACGAGTACGTGCGCGGGGTACGCGGGATCGTTGGGATACGAGGCCATTGACGCGGCGACGTTTGCGGAGTGGGGGGTTGATTATCTGAAGTACGATAATTGCAATGTGCCCGCCAACTGGTCGGACGAGTACACGTACAACAAGGATGACGGAACGTCCAATGCACCGCCGGGTTACAGCTGGGACACGAGCAACAGTGCGAAGCGCTACCACGCCATGCGGGACGAGCTACTCAAGCAGAACCGGACGATCGAGTTCTCCATGTGCATTTGGGGAGAGGTTAGTTCCATTACCACTTGTCAAACTGCGTCTCTTAACTAACAGCTACACAGGCCAACGTCCAATCCTGGGGCAACACCACAGGCCACAGCTGGCGCATGTACGGCGACATCAACCCGTCCTGGTCCGGCGCCGACGGCGGCGGCACCTGGGGCGTGATGCCGATCCTCAACCACGCCTCCTTCTTCTGGAACGCGACCGACCTCTGGGGCCACGGCGACTGGGACATGCTCGAGGTCGGCATCGGCGACCTCACCTACGAGGAGAGCCGGAGCCACTTCGCCCTCTGGGCCGCGCTGCGGTCGCCCCTGATCATCGGCACGCCGCTGGCCGAGGTGTCGGATGATATCGTCGAGATCTTGCTGAACAAGGAGCTGCTGGCGTACAACCAGGACCCCGTGTACGGCGCATCGGCGATGCCGTATAAATGGGGTCTCAACCCGGACGGGACGAGTAACCTCACGCACCCGGCAGCGTATTGGACGGGGCCGTCGGGGGAGGGGATCCATGTTTTTATGGTTAATACTGAGGACCGGGAGGTGACGATGAGCGCGGTATTTGGTGAGATACCTGGGCTGAAGGGGGTAGGAAACGAGTTCCTGGTGCATGACATGTGGACGGGGCAGGATCTCGGGAACTTCACGGATAAGGTTGATGTCAAGCTCAAGGTCCACGACACGGCTGCTTTGCGGATTACTGGTGTTGATGGTAAGTCGATCCCACTCTTTGCGGTTGGATGTCAGACCAGAGAGAATCTGTTTTGAAGCCCCTTTTCGGGCCCGGCGCACTTCAGGAGGTGACTGACTGACTCGTGCCAACAGGATCACACCCAAACCCAACGTGGACGACTCGCTAGAGTGTCTAGCTATGAGTTATATATGTACCCCATCAAGAGCAAGAAACACCATCAGACCCACAAGTCTACGACAGGTGTTCAACACCTGTAAAATATCTTCCGTAGTATAGTGGTTAGTATATGAGCTTGTCAAACGCCATCCGGCCGCAGCAAATCCGCTCGGGACCCGGGTTCAATTCCCGGCGGGAGAGTTCTCTTTTCGCTTCCCTCGACCTCGAGCGCCTTTTTGCAGACGCATAAGAGACATTTCATAGCTTGCTCTGCTCTGCTCTGAAGTTGAATACGTCTTCTTGCTGGTCTGTAGGAGATAGGACGTCGGCAGTCCTTCGAACAGGTTCCTCGAGCATAGGGCCGAACACGACCCAAATAGATTGCCCGTGAAGTCATCGTTGTTCTTATATCGTCAGGACGGAATCTGAGACAACGTTGAGCGCCATCTTTCTCCTCAAGCCTCGACTTCCCCTAACACTCAAATGTCAGTTTCTTCCCCCTACTTCTTTCCGTTAACCTTACAAAGGTTCACTCACCCTCCAACACCGTCCCCCCAAGATCAACCTCCTCTTCCTCCTCCTTCTCCCTATTATTGGCAAACCTATCAATCAGATATGCGCCAGCAGCCAGACCGATACCGATCCCGACTCCAATCCCCACTCCCGTAGCGACGTTCTTCAGCAGCCCGCTCCTCCTTTCCGAGGAGCCGACGGTGACGCCTCGGTTGACGTTGACGAACCCGAGCGAGGTGAAGGACGGGCTGTCGTGCTTTCCTCCGGACAGGTCCGGATTCTCGCGCCGGTGCTTGAAGACGTCGCCTACCGTTGCCAGGGCGCTGGAGCCCAGCTGCGCGGCGGCCAGGGCGTTGCTTGGGGCGGAAGTCATTTTGTCTGTCTCTATCTGGGTAGGAGGAGGCGGGATTTGGGGTTTGATAACGGTGAGGATCCGGTTTCTTCTCTATGAAGGATTGGGGGAGAGAGGTTTGTCCCTTTGGCAACCTTACAGGAGCTGATGAGCCGCTAATCTGGAGACGATACGGGGGAGTCGAAGGAAAGGAGGCGGGGATGGTCAACAACGGGAACAAGTGCCGCGCCGAAACTGGCGCCATGAGGCTCTGTACCGGCACTGCCACGTCAATCAGCAGTGCTCGGGCGGCAGCACACTTGGATTGCTCAGCTCTGCCTGCCAAGACGTGATATGTTTTGTGGCTTGCATCAATAGTACTAGATGCTGCGAAAGGGGTGTGTGAGACTTGGCACGAGGCTCTGGCCCAGACTCCGAACACATGCTGAAGCTGTTGCCACTCGGCCAATATGCCAGCCTGGGCAAAGGCCAGACCCAAACCCAAAGAGCCATTGTCATTCTTTGATATGTCCCTTGTATCAGGGCGTTGCCAGCTCGAAGTGTCCCGAGTTTCAACATAGATGCTGATAGATGTGTACTCGTAGTTGGAAAGCTCAAGGCTCCTCCAGCTTCGGCATCCTCGATCCTGACAGCAATATCCTCACAAAGAAGAAGCGGCCATCATGCTTGTCTCCCATAATCTCCTAGTAACCGGACTCAAGGAGCCGAGTCTCTTTGCTCTCCGATTCCCCAGCTTCCTCTCGAATCTGGCGGCAAGATACCCCTCCAGCGCAAGCCTACGGAACGTCTCCTACAGCAGCCACGTCCTAACCACCAAAGACAACGACCCCGCCGCTCTGGTCAGGGTGCAATTCAACAATGCCTCGAAAGAAGAGTTCTGCGACGCCCTCATGCAACCCACCTCCGAGACGCTCCTCCTAACCATCTCGACCCACGGCCTCCTCGGCTTCTCGGCAGTCGAGGACAGCGACCTCGAAGAGACGTGGAACATGACCGTCCTCAAACAAGTATACGTGCACGGTGCGGACCGGATGGACAAGTTCCAGCTGCACGCCGTCAAGATGACCGGGGTGGACTCCGTCCCGACGTGGATCAAGCTCGCCAGCTTCGTGGCCGACACGACGATCGAGATCGCGCTGTTCTCCATCCACCCCTCGCTGCAGAATATGGACCTCGCCGCCGTGAAGGCTACGAGGGCGGCGAGGGCGGCGGCGCGGGACAAGGCCAAGGGATGGTTCGGCGGGGGAGAGACGGCTGCTACACAGCTCCTCAGGTCCCTCGCGGCTAAGAACCGTAAGGCCTTTGGTGCGGAGGACTTGAGGCGGAGGACTGCCCAGGCGCTGGACACGTTCTTCACCAGCAGTGGTAAAGCTTGCGAGCTGCTCGAAGGGATTGCAGGTAAAAGTTCCTCCTCGCCGACACACGATACATAAACCCGTGCGGGTGCGGGGACTAACCCAACACCTACCTAGGCTCCACCCCTCTAACCACCACCGCCTCGCGAGCCGTCTTCGTCCAGCTCTACAAACTCACCTACCACGCCTGCGCCGCCTTCTCCCTCAACGAGGACCTGATGCAGATGTACACGCGGCAAGTGGTGCTCCACTCCGTCAGCGCCCTCACCAGCGGCGCCAGCGCCGTCTCGAGCGCGGTCGAGGTCGGCGCCCTGATGCAGGCCCGCGCCGCGCTGCGGCCGGAGGGCTGGGCGACGCGGCTCGGCCGCAGCGTCGGGCTCGTGACCTGGCCCAGCCCGCAGGAGCTGGCGCGGAAGTACGCGGGCGAGATCGCAGGGGCGAGCTTCGCCGCGGCATGGAGCGTGGGCAGTCTGGCCGTGAGCACGTATTCGGCCGTGCAGGCCAAGTACAAGAGGGACTGCTGCGAGAAGATGGCTTTTCTCATCTTCCAGACGTGGCAGGCTGCTGCGGAGGGGAACACGTTTCTGAGGTGGGTTTATACTACGTCTTCTGGGGGCAACTTCCGGTTTCAAGATGAGGAGAAGGGGAGGGAGTGGGAGGAGTTCCTGAGGAGTGCGCTTGGGAGCAAGACGCTAGAGGCGGAGTGGAAGGAGGCGAGGTCGGTCAAGGTGTACCTGCGAGGGCGGAATGCCGAGCTTTCGAGATTGCGGGTTGAACTGCAGTGTGAGGCGAAGGAGTTGTTTAAGTGAGCAGAAGTTGCCGAGCGTGATATTGCGGTTGTTGTCAGAGGAGGTATTTCACGAATCTCCATCTCCATCCCTCCAAGCTATCATGCAAGCAACTGACTTGGCACACACTATCGTGCCTAACTCGCCGCCCAAGCTGTTCCACAGACGGTTGAATGGCCTTCATAACATGGGGAAGAGCCTCCCTTCGGATGCTCTGCAACACCAGGAACCCCGTGCCAGCAACAATCACCGATAACACCCAAACACGTTCTGCGGAGCGCACACGCAGAGCAGGTAGCACACTGCTTAGAAGCCCAAGAGGCAGGGCGCTGTTATTCCAACCGTCAATATATCGTGTGTGAGACAGCTGAACAGTGGTACGCCAACCAAGGGTAAGGAACACGGCAGCACCTACAGTACACCTACGAAGCCTCGCCATCTCGACAGTCTGACGACCGCAGTGTTGTGTGCACCGCGGAGCCGTTCGGCAAGAACCTCGAGATCCCGGCAGAACCTCTCCCGCGGCAGTGTCTGCTCTATTAGAGCATCACCGTGCCCTGTGGTATTCGCACGTGCAGCCGCCACGCAGTCCAAGCCGTGGCGGAGAGATACCTGGCGCTGAGACTCGAGGAGAAATGCTGGATCGGCCAGGAGCCCAGAATCCGCTGGAAGTGGGTAATAGGTTGAGCCGTTCGGCATTGTTGTGTGTCAACTTGGGCGGGATTAGTCTTCGCTCGCCTTGCCCTCCTTCCCTTTGCTTCTGGAACTCCCCGGATATACTCGGCCCCTTATCAGCCTTCAGCAGGCTGTGCGGAGTTTGTCGTCGTGTTATTGGTATACCCTCTAATGCAGGGCAAAAGCCACTGGTGGGAAAAGAGGACGGGCTACTGGCAGATTCCGGTGACAGATTGTTGGAGTTACAGATGGAGGTTCAGCTCAGCCTCGAGCCGGCCAATAGATACTGACCGCCAAGCTTGCCGTACATACAACCGTACATACACCTTCAGTCGTTCATTCTTGCCGTATGACCTGTTCTGAAACAACAGCCGTATCCAGTGGCAGTCTTGCGATTGATAGGAGTCTGGGTTCGGGTGGTGGCTTGCCATAGCCTGCGTGCTCGTCTGTAGCACTGCCACCGGACTATTGATGTCGACATCGAGCTTCAGGGCACTGCATTCTGGCCGAGCTCGACGGGCTACAGCCGTTAAGATGAGGTGTGGATAAGAAGAGACCATGCTGCCGTGTTAGCCGTCGTACTGTGGTGGGATCGTCAATCGAACTTGACAGTACCCGCTTCCATAGAAACAAAACGACTGCCATCACGTCACACATCTCGACTATCTCACTGCCTGCCACACCCGTCAGTCAAGCAAAATCACCCACAACACCCTCTCCCCCCAACAACCACCTCCACGAACCCCCAAGCCTCCTTCTCTATCCTTAACATTCCCAATCAAATCAATAAATCATGTCCCAAACCAAAGCAGACGCCCGCCTCATCCAAGCGGTAACCACCGCCCACGCCTTCAAACCCACGACCTCCTCCTCGACGGCCGCCACGCTCGCAACGGACCCGAACTGGCTGTTGAAAGCCGGTACGGCGGGCATGTCGGTCTACGGCGGCTACAAAGTCGCCACGCGGCCCAGGGACACGTCGGAGAACATCCGGACGGCGAAGACGGTCTACGGCGCGGTCCGGGATAACCCCGGTTTGACGACTGTTGCTGTTGCGGCTGTTGGGTATGGGTTGTATAGGTGGTGGAGCGGTGGTGAGGGGGAGAAGAAGGAGAAGACGGGTGGGAAGGATGGAGGATGGGTGATGGCTGATGGGCTGGTTGGTACCATGACTTGTGGTGGATGGATGGGTAGATGAAGGGAAGGGGTTGATTTGTTGGAGAGACGTCGATAGGGCAGATTGGTTTGGATCAGTCCGAGGGAGAAGGCAGGGTCGTAGATGAAGAATAACGAAGGATGAAGGGAACAACAAGTCAAAAAGCAATGACATATCCTGTGCCCAACTCGTCTTTCAGTGAAAGAAAACAAGAGACAGAAAAGGTGCCAAAAAGGACACATGCACGGGGCCTAGTGCACGGCGGTCGGGTCGAACCGATGCCCTCCTCGAACCAGCCGGGTATATCCACGTCGCGTGGCCACCGTCCGATCCAACTCGGGCACCGGCCTCCCCTCCCATTA